ACACAGCACCCAGGAACCCAACCCTCAACAGGGATCAAACCCCCAAATAAATAGTTTTACACAAAGAAAGCTCATGAAGATGTTCACCCTCTTTATCAATGGAACAGATCCCCCTGCACCAGTAATACTTATTTACACTGGACCTAATAGTAAACCAAAGTGTTTTATTAAGTACAAATTGTAGGATTTAAGCAGATTTGGGTCCCCAGCTCTCTTTTGGAGTGAGTCATGCCAGCTGAAGAACAAGGGCTGATAACTTTCCCTTGTTTAAACAGTTTTCTCCGCAGGGCAGGAATCTTTTTGTTCTACTCTTCCCCCTTCCATGGAAACCTAATTGAATCCCAATACCTGGTGATATGGTCACATGTCTTAGTAGTTTGCACTTACAGGAAAAACAGGGCTGTTTACAAGTCATTACGTTGATCTCACAGTCTTAAGGCTTTAGGGCTAGGGGTGGGACCCGTAATGGCTCTCATTAGCACATTTAAACTATAAACAGTCTCATATTTCTAACTTTACGTACAAGACTGATACATGCACCAAAACAGGACAGACCTATAACATTACATTGATAGGTTACAAGAGGTATTTTGTTTAAAGCATCTCTGAGTTATGCAAATTTATATTCATAAGCAAAATGTCCTATAGTATTACAAGAGGTGAGGGGGGAACTGTCACATTATGATGTTGGTGACTACCGCATTTGCATCAGTGGGAGGTTAATGTAGACAGTGACGTGATTAGAACAATGTAAGCTACCTTATTAATGGTAGTGTTGACCAGCCCAGAGTGACTGCCCTTTCTCAGCAACAGCAGCTGCTCTGTCTGCTGCCAGCTTCTTGACCCTGCCTGTTCCTGCACTATCCTGTTTGCAGTCAATTCCCTGCTTCCCAGATCTTCCTCCAGGTGCAGCCTGTGGCATTAATAGCCTGCCTACTCATCTTAACCCCTCCAGTCCTGTGGGCAGGAGATAGCCTGTCACACTCATCAAGATAGGGTTTGAGGAAAGTATTTCTCAGCATCAGGAAGAATTTGCTAGCAGCTATGGGGAAACTCAGAAATGCACATGAGCTGGTTGAGCTGCTAAGTAATGGTGACGTCCTCCTAGGGGGGAGTCCTCGACCAAGACTTAGTGCTCTGACACTTGACTTAAGATATGAGTAAATTATAATCCATTGTAAAGTGAAAATTAAGAAATTAGGGTCAGATCCTTAGCTGCTGTAAATCAGCATAGCTCCACTGACTTTCATATTTACTACATGGACTTCTACCAGCTGAGGTTTGAGCCCTAAAAGAAAGCCAAAGAGCTAATAGCATGAGGAAGAAGTTTTCTTGATGTACCTTACAAATGGGAAGCATGCAGGAGGCCAGCAAAGCATAAAGGGGGTAATCAGAGAGGGTTAGTTTCACTGCGCTAAATGCTGTATTTCGAGTGTTCTTCACGTCAGAGAATAAAGTCCTTGTCAGGGAATGTGGCGAAGACTAGAACTTTAACAGGGTTCAAAAAAGAACTAGATAAATTCTTAGAGGTAAGTCCATCAATGGCTGTTAGCCAGGATGGGTAGGAATGGTGTCCCTAGCCTCTGTTTGTCTGGAAATGGGTGACAGGGAAGGGATCACGTGAGAATTACCTGTTGTGTTCACTCCCGCCGTGGCTTTTGGTATTGGCCACTGTTGGCAGACAAGATACTGGGCTAGATGGGCCTTTGGTCTGACCAAGTATGGCCGTTCTTATGTTCTTAAAGTG